CTGAAATATTGAATGCCGGATATGTGATAGCAGAGGCTTGAAGCTATTTCCTCACGAAAAAATCGCAGTTAAACATGTGCTATTCGAATTGTTATAGAATTCTGAAGTGGTATGCCAAACCGAACTTATTTATTAGCCAACCTAATATTGTATGGACCCTTTTTTCCGAGTTGCTACTACTGTAGTATTCAATGTAGACTCCACGTGAATGACTCCTACTTCCTTTCGGGCTTTCTTTAAATTACAAAGCATCCGTCTATAGAAAGCAGTAGAGTCTAAGATTGCATAAAAATGCAAGTACTGCGCAGATTGAGCAAGTGCGCCTCTCAGATTTGTTTGCACTGCGTCATTGTATTATAGGTTTTGTGCTCATATCAAATCTATTGTACTCAGACATCTATTCCACGAGTCTAACGCACTAATAGACAGCACTGTAAGGGCCTATAGGCATTACCTTACTTTTATTTTTCGTCTTTTTCCTTTACCTTCCTTTCATTTGCCTTCTCTGCAGATGGGCGGTTATGCCAAAGAGAGTGGGTAGCGAAAAATCTCGAAAGTCCTCCTCGAGCTCTTGGGTTCTTGCCTCAAATACGCTTTCTCTGTGCTGTATCAAAACATAATGAATATAGCGATATGAAACATATTTTTGGAAACGAAGAAATTGGTCCGATGGATTGAGTTGTGGGGCGTGTATTAAAGAAATGACAAAACAGTACTTCAAAATTACTGTCAACCCGAAGTCCGATTCCATTGGCATTGCTCTGCTATATCTGAAAATCATGTTTTGGTTTTCACTGTGTTTGAGAAAATGAAATTTTTTATACAGTGCTGCTGATTACATCATTGGTTGTACAACGGCATTTGATTGTTTCGGTCAATTTAGTACCACTTAAAGATTCCAGGACTCAAACCGAATTATTGTACAGGGGTAATAAATATTAAATGAAACAGAGCACATGCGTTATGCTGCCTTCAGTTTTACGACTAAAACTGATAGGTTGCAGAGCTATCTCCAGTCACTCGGGAAGGCAACAAAGGCTTTGCGCGAAAGTCAGCAAGAAGACAGAAAGTAAGTTTGGTGTTAGAAATCAATATTAGTATGTAAATTACGTTTTTGAGGAGCACAAGCGGTCAGCATGCATCTGTCGAGTCCCGACTCTCCAGTGGACGCGGCTCTTTATCTTCGATGATCTCTCAGCTGAGAAACAGAACTCGAAATGAGTCGACGATAGAGGAATTCGAAGACGATAAGGAGTAAGTCACGAACGGGCTGGAGATGGTTAGAAGTTTTGTGGTATAGTTCAACCTATTTGTTTAGTATGTCTGGACACAGTAGCCGCGATTCTGACGAAACTCCATCTGTCGATAGTCATTCTAGCGGTGAGATATGAAATTCAGAACCCTTGTTATGCAAAACTTGCTTTAGCTGATGGCGAAAGAATAGTGTTTGACTTCCCTTACGATAAGGAGGATAACAATAAAAGTGGCGAACACTCCGAGCAATTACCGGGTGAATTTTGACTGATTACTTTTAGATTGCAATATGAGTACAACTTAGTATTTGGAAGAAAACTGCTTTTTAAGACCTGCTGAACAAGAGGAAGAGCATCCACGACATTCGCGAGCTACGCTCCTCTATCGACCATTCTCTAATAAAACCTCCAAAAGTGCAGAAACAGAAAACAAGGCGAAGTCTTAGCGTCAGCTCTAACAAGGAAGAAGCTGATTCCGAACATTTGTTGGAAGTGGAAGAAGAACCACAGGTACGACTTTCTCAATACTGAACTATTGAATCGGTAAGAAAAGACTTTATTTGATTGTTAGGAAATTCATCAGCTGACTAAGCTACAGAGACTAAGCTATGTAAGTAACTTTTCGCTTTTTGACAATGACGCTTATTTGATACTTGCTGATTGCAGAGCGAGCTACAAACTGCGCAGACCGCTTACTTTTGAGCGAGATAAAAAAATTTTTTTAAGCTTTTCGAAGATCAATGAAGTTTGAGGATTTATGGGATTGTGAGGAAATATGATGCCGTTTGCATTTAGAATACGCACAACAACCTGGAATTATGGTTTTTTGCAAGAAGTTGATTTATTTATCACAACACAAATAAAATGTAATTCACGTCCTAATGAAGTTCAATGGGTTCTGTACGCAAGGCTGGAGGACAACTGGGAAGTTGTCCTCCAACCTTGCAACTGGTTTAGCTGGGAAGTCGGATCCGTAGAATTCGCCATGATTTTATACATAGTGAGATATTTGACCTGCCAAAAGTGATATTTGACTTACCAAACACGAATATCATAATGAATTTATTGGATAACGTCTCGTTTTTTGAGCTAGGGCTCCATCTCGTATGTTTGTCGTAATCTTACAAAAATGCTCTACCAGGCGAAGTCAGTAACGTTTCCATGGTGTAGGATAGCATGTCAGATAACCCCTCTAGGCCAAGTTCCAAACCTGTAGCGATATGTTTTTTTGCATTGTACTTACTTACCGTGACCCTGACTACGAGACCAGGATTTGGCAGGGCAGTAGCTGCACGTGTAGCTTATGTCATAACCTAGATGATGGCAGAATCTGAATGGTCACATTTAATGAGAAAGAAGTTATAAATAAAACGTGCAAAACTCAGCTAACGACCTTTTATTATGTTTTGCTTGCTGATTGCCATTTTCCATTACCAGTGCGGCCTAATATTGCTGCTATTGAAATTAATTTTGTAGGAGGCCAAAGTGAAACCTAATCCAATCAAAAAGAAAAGCCCATTCCGTCCTGCAGTTGAGAGTGGCAGCGATCTGGAGTCGATAGATTTTGAGGTAAGCTTCAATTATTATTATGCTGTCGCTTTTTCATGATGATATTGCTGCTGTTATACTTCAAAATGTGAGAATTGATTTTGTACACCATGAACCTGTAGATGATTTTTAACTGA